AAGACATAAGTAACCCTCTCTTATATGATAATTACAGTACTAATGCATTGGCCTTAAGTTAATCACAATAACAATTATCAGCTAAGACAAACAGCAGCACACACAAATGTCTAGTAATCAGCAAAAACTAAATAACATGAATCCCTGCCCTGCGTCCAGCAGGTGTCTTCACTTTGCTTTTCCACCTCTGTGATTAGCACACCCCAATGTAATGAAAAGGGCAATAAACTGTCTGTCAGCCTAAAATGTTGTCTCCACACTGCCAACACAGAACCGGGAGTGTTTGCTACAGTATAAAAACTAGACCACACTGAGATGTGGATGCTGGGTGGTGAGTACTTGGATACGGGGTAGGGTGAGGCTCTTTCACTTCATCTTACGATCCCTGTCTGTTGCACAGCTAATTTAAAAATTGCTTTTCATCCATCCAAGACCCTATCTGCCTGACTGAATCATGAATAAGCAAATCTACGAATGTTAAATTTACAGATGTTGAGACCCTACTGTACTAATAAAATTCCAGATTATTTTTTATTAAACTGAAAACTGAAATTATTTCTGCATACATTTTCATTTTGAAAACATTTTGTAATTATTAATTATAAAGTTGAGTCTGCATCTCAACAGCACACACTGTATAGAATTCACTTACTTTTAATCTTTTTTTAGCTGCCCAAGTGTCCTTGTGTTGGTGGTTGTATAAAAAGAATATGAGTATTAATGGAAATTGATGAGACAAGTAACTCCCTTGTGGCTTTTTATTACACATGTTTCCCTAGGCATTGCCTACAACAAACTGTGCGAAAGCCTGGTTGCTCAGCATGATCATCATGTGCAACTTGTGAAAATGTGACATTTGTGATTTTCAAAAACTGCACACAAACAACTTTAGGAAACAAAATAATTTTGTCAAGATTCTCAGATATCTTACCCAATTAGAGGTGAGTATATCAAGATTAATTTAAATTTTAAGGTCAGTAGCTGTCATACTTTCAGTTCTCCATCTTAATTAATCTACATTCATTTCACATCCTGTGTACTGTAGATGGAATTGTATGACAGGAACGGCACAGTCCCCTAGTAAGTGAGCTAGAAGACTACTGTATGTCTCAACATAAACATACTGTAGATACTTTTCACAAGTAAGACATTTATCAGAGCCACAATAACTTCAGAGGCTTATGATAAGATTGGGTAAAGCACAAGGTGTTGGGTCTGAAATATATAATTGTATATATTAACAGTTCTGCTGCTACCAAATCCTCTTTGTCTCAGAGAGATTACATTCACATTTAGGACATGCAGTAAGACTAGCCAGACACTTCTGGAAAGTGTCATCAGAGTGAAACCAAATTTTTTAAGCGCTTCAATGCAGTGGAAAAGAAAATAAAAAGCTTGCACAAACAGGAATGTTCCAATGTATTTAGAATTTTGGATTTTGAAGAGCTAACCCCAGATTTATTTCCCAAAATGGTTGGTGTGAGATTGGGACTTGGACATCTTTTCGCAATGGATCAAGGCTGATGAGTGCTTTGCAGCCAGCCAATTGCAATTTGCAAGGAATAACGACATTCATTATTTGGATATGTTGGATGATGTTTCCTGAGTGCTACAGGAGACTGAAACCATGCAGAGTGAGGACTAACCAATGGGTAGCTGGAGATTAGCAAAGGTGGAGATGGGGTAGAGGGGAGATGCCTGTGACAAAATGCAGTACAGACGGGTTTGTGTGTAATATACTGCATAAACATTAGCTTTACAAATGTAATCGGGAATGACTATGACTTAGAGCAGCTGAGGTTAAAGTTGCTTGATTATCATAATCCCTCCCAAATTTCGGTGAAGAACCCCCATTTAATGCTGACATTCCCCAGCAGATGAATTTACTAGTGTCTGGGCTCTTATCCAAAGGTAATGCTTTCTAGAAACACCAAATGTAAGTAATTCTTGTTACCCAGAGACTCAACTCAGATTAAATCAGAAATTTTGACCCAGTTTCCAATGCAAGTAAATTATTAGTCAAATCTTTGGTAGTAACTTTGTGTCTGCTGTACTTGCCTTTAATAGAAGGCACTTAGTGGATTTGTAATTTGCATTGTGTTGATAAATAACAGTTTCTGATTTTCTGTTAATGTTCTGCCTTCACACACAGGGCTGGCCCTTGGTTAAGGTGGCCCAACAACTGCCTAGGGACCAGTGGCCACCAGGGGGCCCTATAACTGTACAACACAACAGATTTTTTTAATTGGCACATTCAGATGTGAGTCAAAAAGTCTCTCCCGTGGCCCTTTCTGGTGCTCCAGTGCTAATCTAGGCTTTTAAAAATTGTTAGTTATATATTATAATATTATTAATTTAGAATGTAATGTAAGTGTAGTCGTTTATTTCACTGTTAATGTTGTTAATAACTCATCATTGCCATAAGATGACAAAATCAGTGCGGTTTCAGCTGCTGCTACACTCATTTAATTTTGAAAAATAACTAACAACTAACATGTAATAGTATAGAAGTAAGTAGTACACTCCTTTGGGAAATTAAGATAACAATAATGCAGAATATATGTATTTCATTTGCATTAATACATTAAATAGTAATAGTAAAAGACAGGTGATCTTTAATATTTTCTCAAATATCAGACTGACTGAATTTTTAGGGTTGTTAATAGCCATTTAATGATTTTGTAAAAAGGACACTGGAAGTTTCCTAGTAGCCAAATATATTGGATAATAAACAAATCTTCAAGGTCCAGCTGAATCATACGCTACACTGAGAATTGAACTAACAGGACAAACTGACCTTATCAGAAATTGACTGGTTTCATCATTATGTCTGTTTTACACACATGGAACAATTGCCTTTAGTTCAATTACCTGTCTGAGCATGCATGATTCCTTACAGGGTTTTTGTTGGGAGAATATTCAGTATGGGATAAAAGCAGAATTTCCCACTCAGCACACAAGTAGAGACCCTCAGATGTTGTCTAATCCTAGAAGAGAAACTGACATGAAGAAGAATGAAGATCTTAAAAAATTTAGGCACTTTAATCATAGACCTGGTTTAGAAAAAGATGTTCTGAAATGAATACTTTTGTAAAGCCCAAATTACACTACTATTACTATAGGAGAGTCTTAAGCAGGAGATCTTTCTCATAATGGCAAATGATAAAGCTCAATAAAGATTGTGAGTGCTGAAGCTAACTGGTTGAAAGGTGACTCTAAGACAACACTTAATGATTTCACTACTAATTCAAGATTGTGGCATCAACTGACATGCACTTTTAAGAGAAACACTGTATGTAGTATGTACTGGAATACTTTGAACTTCATTTGTAATTGTGTCCCTATAAAACCAACTGTAAAGAACTGCATTATTTATTGTTAATATATGTGATTTTCTGTACACTTGCTGCTGTGTAAACAGTGTAAGGTTTACTAAAGTTAATTGTAGCATAAAACTTCAATAAAACACAGGTTGTTGATATATTTAGGTTTAAAGTATTGTTTTGTGAATCTTATCCAGAACAAAAAGGCAATACAAAGAAAACAATATTTAATAAGGCTTCTTAAAACGAATGAATCCACACTTCGTTAGCAAAGTGGTAATGTCTAAGATGATCCATGTCTATGATGGCTAAAAATGATCTATTAAATTACATCCTGTAGCTAAATTCTTTTTCTTCGGTCATCTTAATAGCTGCAGCTTAGTGTCTGTTGAAAACTAGAGTATATTATTTTCCATTTTCTGGGCTTTGGTACTGTATGTGTGTGTAGGTGGAGGAAGATGGGAGATAATTTCCCTTTTCTACATTTAACTCTTGAAAATCTTTTTTTAAAATCTTTTTAGAGTAGTTGAACAAGGGGCTTTACTCACACTCAGAGAAATCAGGACTTCAGTGATCACAGTACTGTACAGTATGTTATCAGTATCTAACAGAACAGTTTGTTCTTTTATTGCAGATTGCCAGAATTATTCAGCATTTTTTATAAAGTGCATATCCAGTCAATCATTTCAAATCTCATTAATCTCCTGTTTACATGAAAGTCATCTATCCAGGTATTCAGAAAGTGATAGAAATTTATTATACGGTAACTGTTTTAACAAGATGATTAAAACACCACACTACACTTGGAAAAAATCTGTGATGTCATATTAACTTTTCGAAGTCGGAAGAATTTAAGACAATAAATGTTTTGTATTTTATATGAGTAGGCAGAATTCGTAAGCAAAAATGGTTTCAAAGGACATTTAGGCAAACTTCAGTTTATGTTTAACCCCTTCACAGAGCTTTTACACAGCAGATGGTCTTTCACCACCTTCTCCATCAATTGTAACTAATGAAAATCTGCCACCTTTAATATTATTGGTTTACTTTAACATGAAACACCCCATTGTCCTTACACTTTAGACTTCTACTTATTCACCTTCAATTAAATCTATAGAGCAAGATTAGATACTCTAAAACCAAAAGACAGAGGAATCAGTAGATGGTATAATAACCCTGTTGTTATCTGAATTCCAATGAACGTTTCTTCCCTATGACTGAAGCGGGACTCAAACAAGTCTCTGATAAAAGAGTGAAGTTAACAAGCGTCTGATTATGGTAGGTTTAAGGTGCTCCAGGATTGGCTTTTAAGCGTTTCAAGGATTGCTCATCCCTTGGGCTTTTTTTCCCCCCTTCTCTCACTTGATGAAGGAGTCACTCTGCAAAGCTATTTTATTGTCAAGGGAAGTGTTTTTGAGCAATTAGACTTGCATGAATCAGACAGATTCACTTTTTTTTTAGAAAAGCAAAACTGAAAGAAAACAGGAGGACTGGTACACAGTGTGTCTAGCACAGGGATCAGCAACTCTGGTTGTTACTTTTTTTTGCATAATTGGCAGAAGCGAACAAGTTTCCAATCGTTCACCTTTTGTCTATTAAAAGCCCTTGCAGTTCCAGGAGGACTGGGGTTGTGGACCTCAATTCTAATCCATTTCTGCTGTTTGTATGGTACTGTAGGGCATGGCTTCTGCTCCTGTGGCCGATGCATCTGCAGTGATGGCTGGTTTGGTAAACTGTGCCAGTTTCCTCGGAGCTGCAACATGACGGATAAGGAGAGCAAGAGCCTCTGTGAAACGTCAGATGGGGTCATGTGTAATGGGAAAGGTAAGATCAAACTGAAACAAATTAAAATAAAACTAAAAGGGTTTTCTTAACAAAGTCCATCTTCGAAAGTTCGAAAGGTTATCTGATATGATCAGTCAAAATACATTTCTAGATCCTACTTTGATTTAAACTTCATTCATGCCCATGTTTTTTTATATCTAGGGTCTCACTAATGTCATATCAAGCAATGGTAAAAAATGCAGGGCTTCTATTTTTTATTTATTATTTCAGATGCTGCTTCTTATGTCTAAAGCTGAATTGAATTTCAGCATTTTGGAAGGCTTTTATTATAAGGGCCATCAAGTAGCCTCATATCAATTGAGGAGATGTTAAGAAAATCTAAGAACTATTGCAAACTACTATAAGTGCAAGAGAAGCAAATTATTAATACCAGATTTTTGCTGCTTGCATAAATACAAAATAGTTGAAACTCCTCATTTTGAAGAATATTCAGACAAGCACAAGTCTTATACAGCATGTATAGTACAGTATATACTGTATTACTTGGCTGTTATGTGTGAATAATATTGAATCACAGCAACAAAAATCTACTTTTCCTGCTCTTCTACACTCTAGAATTTTACAGAAAATCAATTTAAATTAAATGAATTCTTCAGCTATATCAGCCTTTAATGTCAGATGGTCTGCTCTTGTTCCTGGATAATTATTATCTTTTTGTTCCTGGTTTAGTTCTTGTATTTCTTTATATCAAAAACACAAAATGAGAAGTGACAAGAATATGTTTTTTATGGCTTTGCTGTTTAGTGTAATGTATTTTAAATATATCAATATCACAGTATCAATGACTGCATGTAATATTTTTCATCTCTCTGAATCAGGAACATGATTATCTTGGCCTCTAAATTATTGCTTTTGAGGAGCTCAGATTGGGGTAAGAACCTGTTTTACGATATGAGGGGCAGCAAAACCATTTTTTCATTTTGTATAAATATAACACTGTCACCATATATATGATAAGCTTCACAAAAGCCTATAGGCATTAAAGTGTATTTAAAGATTTTAAGATGAAGCAGATATTTGTAGTACTTTAGGCAATGTAGGGTATTGCCCTAGTAAAAATAAGGCCCCCAAAGCTGTTTTAATTAACACAGCTTTAATCCATGTATATATCTAAACTATAAGAAATCAGATTTAGGTGATCTCATATTTTAGAAGGCCTTCCTGTAAAACCTGTTGCAGAATGGATCAGTAACATTAAAATTAAAACAACCTTTTCAGGAAACCACAAAATGAGCTTTTTTGACAAAGTTTCTCAAAATGTTGAGTAACTGGATGGAATCTTGAGCATCTTCATGCTGTACTTGAGGAACAGTGCAGAATCGTTGGATATTTGATAAGGTTCACACTGCTTTTCTGACATTTTAGATGTTTTTAGATTCATTCTGTAAAACAGCATGACCAATTTTCTATTACCACTACCTTGTAGCTTTTATTGATTTTGTTGAAAGTTTTATTTTTGAAGCCCAATTGCATGTAATCTTTTGAGAGCCTTCATGTACTGTAGATATTATTCAGACATCTGTACCCCTCTTAAGCTTCTCATGGGATTTCAGTGGCAATATTTTTATTTATTATTAATTTGAATTAATTTCCACAACATGTATGAGCATTTAGATGTTTATGGTAAAAAAGGGGTACTTGTAATTGAAGGCTTGAGACCTGGACATACTGTATACAGTAGAGGTAATGGGATATTATCCAGAGAAAGGTCACATGAACACGAGGAGAACATGCAAACTACATACAGAAAAAGAACACCCAGTCTAGAAGTGATCCCAGGACACAAGAGCCAGCAGGGTTAGCTCATCAGAAAATGTGATTGCAGTCGTAAACAGCACCGGTATTACAAGCATTGGACCTCCATTGGAAACATAATAATTCATTTTCTACACAGAGTACTGTTGACATACTGTATCTCATGGTTGTATTACGTTTTGTACAAAGTATAATATACTCTAAACCAAACCCCCAAAAAACATACCATAAGCCAAGACTCTGTGAAACCCATAGTTATTTGATCTGAGACAATATGTTGATCACGTGCTTTTTTGCAGTGTTAGAATTCTGACTTTTATTTGCATTTATTATTTACTTTCTGATTGCTTGGATGATCCTAGGCAATTCACATTCAAGAACATATTTGCTGATAAGTAAAAAAAGAAATGAGACAGCTCAATGACAGAGTTCTTTGAAGTACTGTGCTGTATAAACCGATTGCAGTACAAGTAGAAAGAAGAACAAATGCAAGCTACAGTATAGTAAATGAGTTGAAGGATGTACACTCATGGACCCTGCCTGATATAGAGAAGAGAGTTAAAAAAACAAGTCTTGTAAATTGTCTGTAGTTTGTTATCCATTTGAAGTAGTGCAGGCCTTCTGATTTAAGACGAAAAGATCACAAAATCTCAGTTTTAGGGACGCACTTGAAGGTAGTCAGAGATGGTCTTCATATTCACAGAGAACTGGTTTCACATGGGGACTAAGGAGTAAAATACAGTAAAAAGATCCAGGAATTAGGAGAGTTACTAACAGAGAGCCACCATATGATAAGCAGAGGGGACAAGCAGGGTAAGGGGAGCAAGAGAGCAAACTGGACTGGAGTAATGAAAAGAGAGCAGCAGGCGAGGATAAGAATCTAAACTGGGTGTATAATTGTACAGACCAGCAGTCTGAGGAAAGAGTGAAGCACAGAATTTTCAAGGTAGAAGTAAAGCAGAGAAAATACTTGGTGAGAAAAGTTTTGAAACAATATGGAGTGAGTGGGTGGCGATTGCTGTTGATGAATTTATATTCTTCCCGGATCTCTTGTTGTTTATGTCTAGTCTGTAATGCTACTGTAACAATCCTGGCAACTATATTTTCTTTAAAAAGCATTTGAAAGCTGAAGAAATATATTGTGGAACAAGTTAATGCTACAAAATGCAGTGAAACTGACAGGTGAGGCATTGTGCACTTCAGGCTTAAAAATCTTATTTACAGGTCTATGCACTGGGTAGTTATTTGTCCTCAAAATAACTGATTTGTAGAACATCATTGAGTGCAAGTACAGCACAATAACAAATCCATTGCTTTATTGCTTTATATATACTGTATATAGAATAGGATTGCCACTGATGGCTTTCCTTGGGTATATTACATAAACCAAGTAAAATGAAAGCAGTAATACACCTTTCACAACCATTATTTTGAAGTCCCTACCACAGGTAAAAATAGAAAGGTTTGAATGGCATCTTTTCCTTCAGGCAGCATTGAATAAGAGGCAGACATTGGGAAATTAATCTATCTGACTGCCAGCAAACTTCATTTAATACCACTCTAACAGTACATCCAACTGCTATAAATGTCCTTTTAAAACACAACAATAAATTTTACAAATAAGGCTGCAATTTAGTTTATCATTGTGTAAAATTAAGACATGTTGAGAAAGGGGGTCCATTTAGAGTTTGTTTTGTGTGCGTGGCTGCAGTTCTAAAGGCTTAATACCTCCCCTACAACAAGAAAAACAAAAATCAATGGCAGATGCTTCAAAAGATGGAGGTGTTTAAAATCAGGAGGAAAGGTTACAGGGAGATTTTTGTATGAGCATGTGTGGCCTATTAGAGCACCTGTTTTGTTTGTGGGTCTATCAAAGCCAATTACATAGCCTCAATTAGGATAAATTATACAAATCCTGAACTGATTGCTCCCACACTGGAGGCAATCATTACTTTTTCCAAACTGTCTAAAACAGATGAACAGGGAAGCAATCTCTAATTTCAGTAACCAATCTTAAAAGCAATTCTGGCACCAGCAGGTGTTGCTTCAGTGAAGTTTTTTATGACTTTCCCCTTTTTTATAACCCTTAATATTAAATTAGAGTGAGCAACTAGAAGGAAATATGAGGAAAATCTGAAAAAACACAGAATCAGCAGTCAAGGCAGCATATTTGTTTTCTCCAAAATATTTTTTTTTAGTAGAAAGCCACCACAGAGTTAGATTTTTGGAAAATATGATATACAGTATTGGTTTCAGTAGCATGAGTTGGTATATTGTTGTAGATTTCATTGGCCTACAAAATCGTATCTTTTTACGTAAAAGTACAACTCAATGTAAGAAGTCATCTTACAAAAGGTCCACTTACACTGGGTTGTATGACATTGACGTGACATTCTAGCTTTCACAAGTATCATTAATTAAACATTGAAGTCATCTGTTCAAGATTTAACTATGCTTTTGAATGGGTGAGCATGTGTTGACAGCAAAGGAATGAGTAAACGTTAATTCGAGATCACACATGAAGTAGGCCAAAACTTTGTGTTATTTCCACATTGTTCATTCAGTGTGGAATTACAGTAACTTTTACTTGATCCGAATTATATTTTTGCTATTCAACTGTTTACCCATGCTGCTTTCGATTTTATTTTTTCGATTTTGATCTGTCAATTTCAACTATATATTGACCATCAAAAGAAACTTTGGTTATGTGTGTTCTTATGCATGTACAATATGTATAAATAAAGTATATTAATGTTGGATATTGTTGTAATGTTATTCAAATTATTTTGATTAACTGATCATTCGTGACTGACTGTGATACATTCTAGTGATTTTTACTGTAGCATAAGCACTAAATCTGTAGGTCCCAAGGCCACAGTGCTCCTAAGAGACAACTACAACTATCGTCTAGCTTTCATTCCAGCCAAGCTCTAATTGATGACTTTGATCTGCTTGCTTGTTTAGACTATTGGTTAACTTGTTTCTGTACTCATTCCTGAGTTTCAAAAACATCCTACTTCAAGGGCAATGTTTCCAACAATTCAAGAACACAGAATTTGAAGTAGTCTCTCCTCAAATTATTTGTCATTACTGTATGTTTGACTAAACAGCTGTTACTAGGTGATCAGTTAAGGATGAACAGACACAGGAGGGAATATAAATGTAGCAAGCACTTACACAAAGTCCTTTTTGTGTTTTAGTACATTTCAGGCAACACCCCTGAATGAGGGGAAATCTGAAGTTATTTAAACTATGGTCAGGAACTTGGTATGAGCAAATATCAGTATCCTCCAGGACCAGGACTTGAACCATAGACTAAAAAACCTGATGAGATAGCGATCTGTTTGCGATAGAGGTAGCTGATCGGGAACAGGTGATGAGATTGCCTATTTAACCTTGAATGTCAAGCCGGGTGAAATTCAAGAACGAAAAACACCGAACCATATGCCTCCCCACTCAGAAGAACAATGCCTTTGTGCAAGTGATATGTTGGAGGCCAAATTAAGTCAGTCCACTGTTGTTTGCTGTTTGGGGTCTAACCTAGCAAGCTGTAACAGCAAAACATACTCTGTCAATGCAAGGCCACACCCTGGAACGGTATCACTCACAACACTGATTCTCACAATGATATTTGTCCTTGGGGCCGATTTTCATGCTGCCAGCTTCAGTGCGTGAGGAACGCAAGGTTGCAACAAAGGATTGATGGCAACATGACACGACACTACATTGATTAACTTCTGATTGATTAGTTCTGGAATCTCTAGGTTGCCCTTGTTGCAAACACATCCATAACAACTTCCAACAAGAAAATGGACATCCTCATGTTGCTCTTTTAATGGCAGCTTTCTTGGGAAATAAGAATGGGACTGTTCTGCTGTGGAAACCACACTTGCCAGTCATGAGGACTTTTCAACATCTGAGGGATGAGCGGAAGTATAGCTTATATTGCTTGAATCCCAGGCCACATGAACTACTAGACTGTGACATTCACACTAGCTCCCTGTTGATCTACCCTGATGATAACAAACGTTAATCAGCATAGTGAATCTACCTGTGTCACATCTGTTCAATAAAATGTCATTTTCTTCTGATAATAACCTTGCAAATGTGTTGAAGTAGCAAGTGATAAATTTCATTTGATGCTCAGCATATATCAAAAACGTAACCTTTGTATAAAATGTCACATTCTTAACATTTTACGATTTCAGGTTCCTGTCACTGTGGGAAATGTATCTGTTCTCCCAGGGAATGGTACATATCAGGAGAATTCTGCGAATGTGATGACCGAGAGTGTGACAAACAAGATGGGCTGATCTGCACAGGTAATGAACAAAGTGAAGTGTACAATCACCTATCGACACCTTTACAAGTTGTTATAATCTGGATCACAATCCGCTTCAAATCTATTGACACTGCAAGAAAAAATACAAGGTGTTATGAGCACAGAAAAATATTAACAGGACTTTTACAGAACAGAGACAGCAAACTTTTCCTGTTTTGGTTTAATTGAGATCTATTTAGTGGATAGATTTTTTTATGTGTGTGAAGCAAAATGTAATTTTCTCTAATCATGACATTCCCATTTTTCAAACAAGGCTGTAGAAACCTTTTTGCCTGCCGCTCTATACGTCAGTGAATTACAATATGTTTATCACATCATTGTTCAATTTACACAGTATGATTCACAGCATGATGAGTTTTATATCTTTTGTCATTTAGCAGTTTGCATGTCAAACACACATACCATTTTACATTTTATTTTAAGGTACATGTCCAAAAATATAGTCAAATAGGAGCTACTGTACCAAAAATAAGTTTCCTCAGACATATTAACTAAATACATATTGTTCTTAACCACAACTGCATGTGTAACCATTCTGACTTTGATCTCCAGTTCCCTTATTTACTTTATTATATCACATAACTGTTTATTACATCACACTGTGCAGGAATGTTTATTTGGAGGTGGTGCCAAAGGCAAAAACAGTATGAACCTTTCAGAAAAGATTAAATTAACTCTTTCTAGTCCTTTAACTAAAGACTTGCCATTAAAGGTCAAGGCAAAACAAACATTATAAATAAGAATAAGCTCCTTGAGCGCTTAATGTGATCACAAGCATTATTTTTATATCATTATTATAAATCATTTGCTGAATATGTCTGGTAAATAATAATGAAAGACTCTAAAACATTTAAAAGAGTTACATAACTGCGATATTTCATAATGAAAAAACTACGGGATAAAAACAAGAATTATTGAATGTCACTAATTAGCATATTTATAAATACGGTTGTATGCTACATCATTTTAATGCGTCTCATTAAAATCAAGTAATGTTTGTCAGGGAATACAAGCTACTTAACAGAAAAATAAATGTCGCACCGGGGAAAAAAGTAAAACTTTCCTTCTCTGAAGAAGAGTGATACACTGTTTATATATGCTGATTTATATTAGTACAAGCAAGCACCAAAATCAACATTTTTGCATTCAGGAATTTCATGGATTCTCTGAAGCAAGCTATTCTCATTATATGTTCAATTGATGAGTGATGTGGAAAATTAAATGTATTAGCAATGGCTTTAGATTAATTTAATGCAGCATAGTTTCTAATTAAAAACATTGAGTAGCAAAACTATAGCAGGTTTATTGTTATGACCCCAAGTGTCTGGGGGTAAAGGGGTGTAACATTTGGGATAGTTTTGGGATGCAGGTGGGTTCTGGTGAGGGACTTGGGAAGCGTGATAACAAGGGTTGGTGCAAAAGTGATTATTTTAAGGTGAATAAGTGACTGGTTTGTAAAAGGACACAATAACACACAGGGAGAGGAAACTAGAGCAGTTCCAAAGAAAAGAAAATAAATAAAATGGAGCTGGCTAAGAAAGTGAGGGGAGCTGACCTAACTACAAAGAAAACCCGAAATACTCAGTCTTCGGCGTCTTCAAACACCCTAGCTAACCTCCACTGACTACTCAAAACCATACAAGACAAACGGCACTCACCCATACTAAACTAGTGTTACTAATACAAAAATCAACTAGGTGTGTAGAATGTACCCAACAACCTAAACTAACCCTATACACAAAAGTTCACACAAATACACAAGTGAACTATGAATACCAAAGGGAAAACAAGTAACAGGGTACAAAAGAACACAGAGGTTGATAAAATATGTCTGGGCAAGGTAATGGCTAAAAAAAGGATAAACACACAACAAACAAACGAAAGTACAAAGAGACTAACACAAACCAACAAAAACAACAAAACTGAAGCTATACAAAAACGCACACGAACAAAGCCAAAGCAAAAGCTAAAAGCGAAACAAAACCGAAGCTAAGCCAAGCGGAACCAAAGTAAAACGAAAGGCCCCTTCATTCAGAAAACCTCCAACTAATATACTAAATAAGCTGCACTCTGATTGGCCAAGAAGCTGACTGATGATGACGTCACAAAGAAACAATGATGTAATGATGGATCAATGGGGGAGGGAGAACAATCAAGGTCAGGAAGTGTGGAACATAGCAACAAAACACACATGGACCACACACTGGGACGTAACATTTATAAGAACTACATACTGTAACTCCTGGTTTGTTTCAGACACCTTATTTTTAATGACTAATTTTAAATGCTTCTCAGCCCACTTTTGCTTCATTGTAATTCATTCAAAATACAGTACATTTTATTATCTTACAGCTCATAATTTTTCAATAAAATGATGCACAGACAGAAAATAGTACCGATAAACATAATTATGCTAACAGATTATTCCTAAAGAGAATCTCTCTCTGTCCTGTGTCTTTATACCATCATTATGTGCTGGATATCTTTATTTAACCTTTTACAAAACATTTTTCTATCCTCCATGACACATCTGAAATCCAGGCTGTTGTCTAAATTAGTCCGCTGTTTTTATTCAAATTATAGTTGACTCACAGCATAACTTTATATTTATATTTATAGAACTAGATGTACTTTCCTTTTTATTTCTACCCTTTCAATATAAAATATTGAACCAGCTTAGAAGCACATATTTTTTTCAATTATTATAAAAGTGTTTGGATAAATAAGGTAACAAGTCTTATGGTAATCTTGTATTTGTGCATAAAATAAATAGGAGCAATCGTAAACAACTGTTTCCACGCCTGTTTGGCCTGTTGTTTTTTCTGTGTACCATGCTTGTGAGTTTGTATGTACAGAAGTAAAGTGTGCACATGCACACAGATCTACCTGAAGCAGCGCAAAGATACTGAGATAGTGAAAGCAGAGTCCTTGCATGCTCTAGAAACGCTGTCTCACACCACAGCTACAGTATTGGAGAGATTGGCCATTACTGCCTCTTCAGAAATAATAGTAGTAACAATATTAGCACCACTATTAAAAAACGTGAAGCCGTTTGTGAACTGCTACTAATTTCCAAGCACAATTGTTGAAAGATCGGGTTAGGGATTTTTTTTCTGCACAACTACTGTACAACTACTGTACAGTGACAACTACTGTACAGTATACAAACCTGACTAGCCATTCCTACTGTAGATCACAGCAGTTTGTGCATCAGCATAGCTAACAACTTAAAATTTTGTGTCGGTAGCATACAAGGGGGACTTTTAAAACAATTTGTTGGCTTGTTGTTGCCATCTCAGCATCCAGTCCAGAGCATACCCTGCCTTGCACCTGTTGCTTGCTGGGATAAGTTCCAGCTTCACCGTGATCCTGAATTGGATGGCAGTTAGAAATAGTATAATATTCTGAATTACATGAAAAATACTTAACTTCAGTGTTCTGGGTGATTTAATAAACTACTCCAATTTGGCTGTCATGTTTAGCAGTGGCCCAGATTCTCAGTGAAATATTTTGTTTTTCATAATGCACTACAACAAAATATTTTTAAAAAGCATCTCCAGAAAAGGACGTTTAGATGTATTAAGATATACTGACTGCTTCGCATTTTTAAATTATAAATAACACAACTTTTTCCTCATTAAATTTGCTCTTAAATTTGTTCCATTAAATTAGTGAGTCTGACATTTATTCACTGTAACAGCAGGTCAACATGTGGGGCTGAACCAATTACAGTGCCTGTACTGCTGCCTGGATCCTGAAATGTAACCCAGCAGGGCCAAGAACAGTGGGATGATGACAGACTGAACAAAATAACAGCTTGTAATCTGGGAACGAGGGGGGGAAAGATGACAATTACGAACATCTCCAAGAGTCTGTGGGAGTGGAAATAAAATCTTCTGGCTGATTTCAAAGGAAAATAACAGTTTCTTTACACTTAGAACTATGTCAGTTTTGTTAATTTGAAGGCTTTTAAACTGCTTATCTTAATTTGGGGCTATCCATTTTCTGTTAAATCAATGGAGTCTTCTTAATAAGGTATTTTATATTTATATTTTATATTTCGGGTATATACTGTATAGAGCTACACAGGCAATTATGCTTTTAATTTACACCGTGTGTTCAATGTCATATCAATTAATTTGTCAAGATTTATATGATCTTTAGTGCAGTCACATATAAAATATGAAGGACAGGGGCTCAGAATAATGGATGGGCACATGTTCCCAATGATCCACTAGAGCATTTCTTTACATTGGTCATAGAATCAAAAGACTAATTCATAACCTCAACTTTAAACCTGTGTTAAAGTGAAGTGATTAATCACTGTAAGGAAGTACTAGAGTAAGATGTAATGAACTTAAAATGCTCAGAATTCATATTTGCTGTGTTAAAATTAAAGTAATAGGAATAACTGATTTAACATTGACAGTTTTATAGCAAACATAACCAAGTTTACCCCTATTCTGTTGCATAACTTACTACAGTATAGATCACTTTATTAGCCCTATACAATTTCTTGCATTAGGAATTTGTCTTTTCGCATACAGACAAGCTATCATCCTTCATATGCTAATTAAAGTAATAATGCATTGGCTTTAAGGTAAGTAAAATAAATTTATCTAATAAAACAACCAACAGTATTCAAAAAACAAATTGTCATATCCAGGCCAAGACTTACTCGTGGCCTGCTGTTGCCCCTGGCAACAACAACATTCCCACAAGCTCACAACATGCCACTTAAACTGGATCAGGGCACCTTTCATTTAAGCCAGCATTTTTCAATCAGGCACCTGATCTAGTTTACAATCAACGTAATTACATATCTTATTTAATCACCTCAAACTGCTGTATCGTTACTCCATCATTAGAGCCTCAACCTCTGCGCGAGCACTTGCTTCTCTTTGTTCGCTTCACTGTGTTAGAAAAGTTTCTTCTTTTAATTCAATGTTTCTTCACCTTATTTTTGTGTTTCCCTTTTTTGAATCATTTTTACAGCCTCAGTTCGCCAGCCTCTCCCCTTTTATTTTTTCAGCTGGGAGCCTCGCTTATTTTTTCTAAGAGAGTTCCACACAGACTGTATTTTTCACTGCCTGCATCAGATCTACCTTGTTTTTCCTGACCAAGCCATTCACTGCTTTTCTTTTAACATCTTTAACAGCACACTGGAACCTGCGTTTGAGCCTCAACCAACCATCACGCTACAGCATAACAGTGATCAGCTAAAATAAACATGAATCCCACCACTGCATCCAGTGGATGCCTGCACTTTCTCTCTCTGCCTTCCCAGATCAGTGATTAGCATGGCACACTATAATGAAAAGGACAATAAAACTGTTGGTGAGCCTGTAAAGTTCTCTCCAGCCTGTCATTCCCCACATCGCTAACACAGAACATGAAGTGTTCATTACAATACAAAACAAGACCACGTTGAGATGCAAACCCTGGGTAGTGGGTAATTGGCCAGGGGGCAGTGAGAGGTTCATTTACTAGCTAGATGTGTCTCACAATCACATGAAAGAAAATGATTTGTGTAGCACCATTGTTTAGGAGAGGACTATGTATCAGCAAATCAAAAACAAATGGAAACAAAAATGCTAAATATCTTTGAGGTAACATAGTTTCTTACCATCTGGCGAGCAAAAATAAAAGTCTGGTACACAGTCCTTGGTACAAAAAAGAAATGATAGCCCTAAAAGACACAATCAAAACAGCATTATTTCAGCACATGGTGTACAGTAGTTACAATAATGTTGGTAATTAATAAAGTCTGAAGAAGGCTCACACCTGAAGAAGGCTCCACAGCCAAAACATTGTGTTTTCTTTCTTCTCTTTTCAGCATGGAATAAACCTATTACTTGTTCCTTTACAGCCTACGCATGCTGACGCAGCTACCCACCTGAATTAATAAATTCTGTGTTGCTGAAATTCACGTGCCTCATGCAGTTACGGTATATCATAGCGAACTGTAGAAGAGCATAACCAAAAAGATGAATAGGATTGTCATTGTAGGAAAGCACAAGAAGCCACACAACAAAAAATAACCCCGCCCTGAGATTTGTCTTGTTTGGTGTTCCCACCCTAGCTTCTTGAGGATGGAGTATGGATTAGATGTGCAAACACAAGTCACCAGAAGCATCCACAATTTGTTTAGGCAGGTTACCTTATTAACAAGATGTCATGTTATTTGCTGTGGAATGTACTCATCCTATGTTTCACAAAAACATAAACACTGCACTTGAATTTCTGTTTGCAGGCATATCCATAAACTCTGTAGTATGCATAATTTATTAATTTTATTTAAATTTTGATTTTGGTGTATTGCCTCCCATGACTACATGGGGTATCATCAACCACTAGAGAATAAAATTAATTTGGAAATGAATTAACCTTTAGGCATGTCAATTGCATGACATCAAGCTACTATAAGGATTGACAACTCCAGCAACATCCCGAGTGCTTTGCGAATTGGAATAGCCCTTTCCGGGACTGGCTTGATTAATAATGCATTTATTCTTAAGAGTTCTATGGCAAATATGGTTTAAATCTTATTTCTGGAAGCAGTCTTTTTTTTAATTTGCTAACCAATTCACAGTTTCTATATTATAATCATAAAAATAAGAATATAATCTTAATATAATGATAATATTAAAAATATCCTCTGCAATTAAAATCAGCCGCTGTGTTAACAAATGTAATTTAAATTAAAATTATGAGATCTGATTGAATTGAAGAGAAACACATGGATGGAACAGATTGAGAAGCTATATAAAGTTGTGGTTTCTACAAAAAATAGGAACTTACATACAGCAATAGACAAATCATAATCTTAAAAAAACATGTGCTAAATATACTCTGTAAATGTTGACCAACACATGCACAGACCTACTCTTTTCTTTTCCATTGTCAAGCAGTGTCAGAAATTACACTTCACAGTGGTTTTGAATAAGACTTATAAATTTAATGTGTACATAAATTTTAAATGTGTTTTATTTTCTATTTTCTTAGCATCATTTATTAGCAGTTGAAATACAGCCATTATAAAGCTCTTATACTGTTTAGAAATTCATTACTCTACCCTTTGAGCCAGAATATCAATGAGAATTTAAAGCATACTTTATAGTCTGGGTTAGTGCAGAGGATAGGTATGTTTTTCATTAAGACTGAAATTGTGACATTCTCAATACCTGATTCAAAGCACCGAGAATAGCCCTGTGGGCTTGGCAAAGAACATTTTGAGAAAAAATCTACTATTTACATTTTAGAATTTTTTCCAGCTCTGGTTTATTGATATTATTTCTCACAGGAACCAGGGTCAAATTCTAGATGAAGCTTCACTTTAACATTGTAGACATGAAGCTACTGTAAATGAAAATCTAAATTTGCCCTACATTATATAAAATGGTAATTATGTTTTTAATTTAGGTTAATTTTAAGGTTACTGCTTAGTTAAACTCTTGGACATATGGCTCTGTTCTTAGTCTAGAATGGCAAATAATTTAGTTTTTTTTTAAATATATAATATGTGGTATATTATACAAAGATTTTGTATGCAGGTACTATTTATCCATGTATGTTAACAGTAGTCATTTTTCTTCGTCTACAATTTACTGTAGTTCAGTTTCTTGGTTCTAATGACAAAATGTGCCAACTAATATAAAGGATAGTATGCTTAATACTTTGGTTTTAGCTTGCCTGGCTGAGGAAAAGATGTTCTAGTGAGATATCACACCCAAAGAATTCTCCCAAAGAATCCCTAAAACACAGAAACAGATTTTGAGCTTGTTTGTACAGTATGAGTAGATTCAGATATGCTGCGTTCCAGATTAACATTGATGTTGAATGAAGTGAATGTGCAACTCATAAAAAGCAAGTCAGTCATCAGGTAACAGCACTATCTTGAGTTATGTACTCATGGAAGATGCTGCAGCAACCCAGTAGAATAGCTTCTGTATGTGGAAGCAGGAAGAGATCTACCTCTTTGCTAAAAGGAACAGATGAGAAAATTGTTTTGCTGGTGGCATACTTGGTCAGAATCCAAGCATGGAGTTACAGATGCCCAAAAAGTCCTAGCTGTGAAGGGACAGAGCATGCTTAGGAAATTGGAAGTGGACGATTGAATACTGGCTGGTGGTGATAGCCCCAGCCGGACAGTACAGAGAAAAGGGAGCCTGGTATTGGATCTGATATATGAGTTGCTCGATCATTGAAACAAATAAAGAGCCTCCAGGTAGACGGGTCCAGTGCATGGCTCCCTGGGAAGGGAAAAAAAAGGAAGAAGAAATGTGGAGAGCCACCCAGGTCTGGTATTGTGCATAGTTCCAGGGTGCAATGAAAGACAGAGAGGTCCAGCAAGAAGGCCGGGCAAGACACTCATGCCGGGGTGGTCTACGTTAATGCCAGACTGTACAGAGCATGAGCCCTTGGGGGTGTCTCCTCCCGAGACCAGGCCAGCATACGCTGTTTGGTCTTCAGAAGCGTGCTAAAGACTGAGCCGATATTATCACCTGCTGAGACTGGGTTTGAAGCGGGGTTCCAGTCTCCATTCCTCTCGTGGCAGCCTAAGATCACCAGTGTAGACAGAGGTCCAGTCAGAGCCCGGGAAATGGAATGGAACAAGGTGGGTTCCACTGGGAGGCTGGAAAGTACCCATGGATGGAAGGAGGAGACAAAAGTAAGAGGGTGAAGCAGGGAAAAGGAAAAAGGGGAGAGTCAGCAGCTGGGGTAAAGGCAGTCTCATGGAGCCCTGGGATCCCGGATGAGTAATGCTGCTCAGGACTAGCACCAGATACAGAAGAGACAGCAGGAGAGAGTCTTGTGTTTCAGACTGGTTAAGATTGCAACAAGAGAACTAGTTGAAGTGAAGGCTGCATTGATGGCAGGGCAGGGACAGTTTGAGACAAGCACTGGGATCATGGACGAGTAAAGCTGCTCAGGCATGAAGCTGATTTAACGGCAAGAGTGAGTCATCAGAAGTGAGAGTCCAGGGTTCCAAGTAGGAGTAGACTTGAAATGAAGACTGCTTCAGCAGCGGCGCGGGGACAGTCTGAGACAAGCCCTGGGATCATGGACGAGTGAAGCTACTCAGGGATGAAGCCAAATTAATGGCAAGAGTGAGACAGCAGGAGAGAGGTCTGGGATTACAAGCGGTAATACTGCTCTGTAGAAAGCCTGCTGAAGAAACAGCATGGGGTATCAGGTCAAAGGGTGAGGAAGTATGGAATCTTGGCATTAGTTTCAGCGAATGATTAATGATGAAGCACCGATTAATAATGAAGCACCGTAACAGAGACGCTTCTGAATTATAGAGATAAAGACATGATTGAATAATTGGAATCTTGATTAGTGATGACTAATTACTAGTGATGATTTATCATTAGTAATTAATAATTGCAATCGTGATTAGAAATGAAGGAGGATGGACCAAAAGGAAATCTTGGAGCCCTCATAAAAATACTCCCAGTTTCTCCAGGCAACTGCAAGTCAGGTGACCCCAAAGGATTGTATTTCTAACAGATGTATTCTGAACTGAGCCCACAAAATAAGTACCAGATTATGAGATATGTATGCATCTGGAAGATGTGGATGGGGGAAGAGTAGAGGGCTGGCACCAAACCAGTTGGACACCAACCAAGGGGAATATATATGAAAGGGAACTGGGGAAAAGACAGAGACAAAACAACATATGCAATATAGACTATAACCTTTGGAAGGAAGAGTGGAGCAGAGGGGAATAGGAACAGATAGAAAGGATGAGAAAAGGAGAGACAACACTAACTCAGCTGTTTGGAGTTCCTAGACAACATTATGAGAACTGAAAGAAAAGCTTTGATATGGCAGTAACACAGCCACTTGTTTTCACTGGTGAGTTGGAGTTGTAAAGTCAAGAAAACAACTCCAGTCTTTGCTATTGAGAGATGAATGCAATGAAAGCAAAGTCCCCGCAGCACAAAAAGGGAAAAACATCCATCTGCAATGAAGTGAAACACTGAGTGCTAGAAAAGATGCACACAGCGCCATGAGCAGCCAAGGGCCTTTATGTGTAAAGGAGAGAAAATGCAAGAATAGAAATTGACCTCTACCTGAACTTCTGTTAAATAACATCATACTGTAAATCATTACTTTCCTTTCTAAACTAAACCACTAAAAATTTAATATCATACTCATTTCATGAATATGTGCACACTGTAGGGACAAGGCCTTTTATTTCACTCAAAATTAAGTGATGTTAAGTATTTCTAACAATCTTTGTGTGCCTAGACCAAATATCCTGTTGCCTGTCACAGTAATTTAGCCAAAGAGGCTCCTCTCTGTGGTCTCAGTCACAGGATGACCTAGTGGTCTTTAGAGTGTGTGCACGTGAGGGAGATGAGCTCTTGTATTGGAATCTTTCCTAGGACAGTCTAGATCCATAGTCAATACTCCCTTAAGATGGATGGTCACTGCTGGTGCCTTGATGTCTAGCAGAGGAACATACGTACATCTGGAAATAATTCTAAAAGCCACAGGCCGTGGTCAATCATCCAACATGGTTGTCCAACCAATCAGGGACCTGCAAGGTGTGGTTACCCACTCTACCAGGTAACTTCATGACCAATCACCAACCGTATCTTCCCCAGTTAAAAAGCAGTGCATCACCTATAACTGCACCCACTCTATCCTCTGAACTAACTTGGCTGATTGACAACAGAACCACGTGACTAGAGGGTGAGTCCGTTATTTAAGACAGACATCTGCCCAAGGTCTACCCTACATCAGAACCTTGCAACCAGCTAGCTACCACCATGCTTTCGCTTGATCACATTACGGATTAACTTTCGGCAACAAGAAACCGAGTTTCTCTTCTTTCTTGTGTGACTTGCCCCAACTGAGCAGTCACCACCCTGTGCACAGAATGTGTCCAAGTTCAGCTCAATGTTAATTTGGTCAACCCATCCGAGAGAATCGACTGTCAGCGTAAGGCTACAGCAACATCTCTCTTTGTCCCAATTACCTCAAGCTGCCTAAGGACTGGAGTGGCAAAGCCAAAGCTGTACCCCAAAGACCTACTAAGAAAGAAGACTGAAAGATTAATTGGCTTCTACGAAAATTGACCCTGGTGTGAATCTGGGCATTTCTGTGTTTGTGTCTTTGTGTTCCCTGTGATATACTGTTTTCCCATCTAGGGTGTACAGAAGTTTCTAATTAAGGTTCTTTATGTTTCATAGAGCTAATATCTTTTGGTTTAAAATTAATGGGCAAGAACAAAATCTACTTAAAAAGTATTCAGAAGACAATACTTCTGCTTTGAAAAATAATGTATTTTAATGTGAAGGATGCTTCAGATACCTTATGCATATGAATCTTAATGGCAAGGTTCAACATCAGTATTCCAAGCAACATGTAGCATCACAAAATTATTGAATACGCACAGTTATTTATTCCTTTGAAGTAGGTTTTTACATAAATATTTTAAAATGTAATATGGTCATTGCCTGATTATATCCAGTTTTTACTGCCCGCCACAATGTATAACACAGTTTCAGACTTTATAGATAATACTAGATTAGATAAGCATGCCAAATTCCACTTCCCAGCTCATCCAAAGATACCATGTCTTCCCTGGCTTCCTCACATCCAGACTGGAAACCAATACATTGTGAAATATAAAAAAAAGATGTTGCCATGATACAGACAGCTTACAATATGTTGATAAACCACTGACAGCGTGCTTCACTGAGAATCCTGCTGATCCCTATAAATTTGTTCCTTGGACATTCCATATCACAATTACTGTAAATCTTCTCTTGCTTTGGCCCTGAAATAAAATATGATGAAAATTCCAGATTAAATAACAACATTTTATTCACAATCTTTGATAGTGTGCTAGTTATCCCAAAACAATAGTTAATAGTTTTACTGTAGAACAGCAACCTTTGGAAACAAACAGGACTGTAACAGATACAATTACCCAGGTGAATTCCATGCTGAAAAGAAAGGATATAGCATTTTGGCTGTAGCACTTTCATCAGGTGTGTGGGGGAGTATGGGGGGGGGTAGGAGTCTGGGGGTAAGGAGTGAAAAAGAAAATGGGAGGGTGGCAGAAAAGGTCTAAAGAGATTGGTATGTGGAGACAATTTCCAGAAAAAGTGTGGAACAAAATCTGAAAATCTGAAAAGGAGAGAGATGGCAAGAAATTAGTTGATCAGTGAGAATTGGGTGAATATTTCTGAGTCTCTCTGTTCCTTCAAAGGAAGCAGACAGACAGGTCAGCTTTATCATGGTTGGGAGAGGTAAAAGTTGGAACGATCAGCTGTCGGTCAGTCTTCTTCCTCTTTTGGCAAAGTAAACGGCTGGGCACTTTCTGCACGAATTGCAATACACAAGATTGCTGTACAAACCAAATGCCCTCTGGGTGAATTTAAAATGTTTACAGAAAAGTCATGTACACTGCACTGTTAGTGTTTAGCTGGATAGGTACAGATATTTGTGATATAGCAGGTTTTGGTGGAACAAATGGTGCCTCGTGTGGATAATGGTTGTGGGCAGTTAAGGCAGTTCCTTTTATTAGTATTTTAATAAATCATTTAATAATTATCTTTTGTCATTATTATAAATAATAGACATTTAAGGTGATCTGCAAGGAGTAAAAGAAACAACATAACCTTTTCAATATTGTTAATAGTTATCTAATGGACAGACATTTTGGCAACATAAATGGTATATTCCGTGCATAAATGAGTGACGGTTTTTGAAGACATTCAATTTTAGGTTTACATATAGTGATAGGTGGCTTTGCGGGAAAGCCACCTGTTAATTAGAGAAACCTGTAGAGTAAGACACAGCTGGTCTGATTAATTAGCACTTGGAGAAAGTGAAATTCCACATGAGTGAAGGAAACTATCAAGATAGGCTCTGCATGGAATTAGTCACTCCTCTGGGCTAATTGGGAAGCTTACAAGAACAGCTGTTAGGAAAAGGTTTTTTAGTCTATGTCAGGGCTCCAGCTTGTTAAGAGTTTTAGAAGTGATCTTAAGCAACATATTGTACTGGCTTTCAGGTTTGTGAGACTGAGTGAGCTAGGGATGCTTAGGAAAATATAGTTTAAAATACAGTTTAAATTGTACTTGAGGCATCACAGGTGCTAGACAGGTGGGCTGCACAGTACCTAGTTTTCTTGCCTCAAAGGGGGTTCAAGTGCACTGTTGAGAAACAGGGCTGGCCTGCTGATCCAGGGATGACTGGAGGCAATGGTCCCGGACCTGGATGAGTCTGGGCATCGTGTGGCAAGGAGCTGTTTACCTTCACTCCACAACAAAACGTGAGAGGTCTAGATGGCAAAATCTGAGTCCGAGTACCCCCTGGGCCTTAGTGTCAGCAGACAGATGGGCGATCTGTCAGAATGTGGGAGAGAGAAAGCAGTAAACCATTACCTACTGTACTGGGGTCACAGGTGTTGATTACAGAGTGGCATTGCTGGCCAGACAGGATCAGCTGGAAGCTAGTGATGAGAAGAGACTACTTGTTAGTGAAGATTTGGGTCTTGGTGAACAGTGGAGTTGAAAGAATAAGAGTGAGGCAAACATCAAGACATGGTGACACAGAGGTTATCTGACTGAATACCCTAGTGCCAGGTTATGTTAAAGTGAATAGTGACAAATGAAGTGAAGTCAAATAACTGGGGGACAGTTAAATGGGATGAATACTCTAGTATTCTGTGATTACTGAAGACACAAAATGGAGAATGAATGAGAAGATCTAGTAAATGTGCAGTGCTTAGTGACTAATGAAGACAAAGTTAATAAAAGTGTAACTTGTATGTAGAATCAAGAGAAGAGCAACTGGGAAGGAAGAGCTGTCTTCACAGAGAGGGAAACACCATGAAAGAACTGGGATTCTAGAGGGGTCTGAAAGAAGACACCAAGGTGACATGCTGGAAGTGATAGATCTAGGGTGGTATTTGTGTTGGCAGTTGTTTTTTGTCAACTGTGCACTTCATATGACATTTTGTTTTTATATCAGAAGTCATTTAGGTCATGTCATGACTACAATCAGTTGTGTACATTGTCAGTGGAACAAGCCAATGCTTTGGATTATCTTGTCTCTTATTCTTTAATGGAGTCCCAGGACAGAAATAGGTGATGTTCAGATAAGCAGTATTCTGAGCTTTTGAATGAATGACATGGTATCTTAGTGATGCAGGACAATCAAAAGCCTTCAACACTGCACAGTATAATGCTATACTTCCTTTTGAAAATAAAAAAAATAACAATTTCATTTTAACAATCAAAACAACAACAATATGGCCATGAAGTGTCATAAAGTAAGTCAATCCAAATTACTTGACTATAGTGTGATAATGAAAATATCATCTTAATGCGTAATTCCTACACTCTTTATTTCAGATGACTGGAATTTGATAGGCATTATTGTATGTATATATTGTAAATGCTGAATTACCTCTAAATCAGTGGTACTTTGTCTTCTCCCCCTTTTGTCTTTTCAGGAAACGGGGTGTGTAACTGCGGAAACTGTGACTGCTGGGAAGGGTGGACTGGGAATGCGTGTGAGATCTGGGTTGGAGCAGAGTACTAACAAAGCAAGGATGCTTCAAAAGACTGAGTTGTATTATTAAAGGCTGCTGAAGTACATAGAAAAGCAACAGATGAGAATCATAGAAGAGAAAACTCATTCAAAACCTGGATAGAATTCTTCATTCTGGTTTCTGCATATCACTTGTGTAACAGCATTCAAAATACTGGTTACAAATGATCTTTATTAAAACTATATTGTTGTATTGAAGTAAAACAACCGTGGAAGCAAAAACGGTTATCCTGTATTTTTTTTCTTTTTTTAGCCGCATTACCGTGTAACCCCTTTTCAGTACAACTATATGTATGAAAAAATATTTATATTTAAGATTCCTCACATTTTCTAGAACTCTACACAAAAGAAGGTGGCATATCATGAAGAGAATCCAGACAATGAAGAAAACAAAAACAGAGAAGCATTTTTGTGTGGTGTGTGCATTTGTATGCTGTATACAGTATGTGTGCAAAGGTAATAAATTTAAGTTTTTTTGTCTACTTCTCATTATCCACCAACCAGACTCTATTCAAACTGACCCATTTCCTCTATATATGTTGGTATTAGAGTATTAGCTATTATTTTAATGATACTGTGCTGAATGGAACAGTACTTGCATGGAAATGGTGCAAAGTTATTCCTGTCTTTGTTCCTGTAGTTTTATATTATAAAAGTTTACCTTTGAAGGAAATTCTGAATATAAGCCTTCATATACAATACTAAATTTTACTATGTATTTTTTTTCTTTCAGTGACTGTTAAAATATTTAATTAACAGCACCACCTTGTCAAGAGGCTTCTAAGCACATCGAACAGTAAAAAGAGTGACAGATGAAAGAGTTTGTGGTATTGAGCAAATATAATCACAAAATATAATCTAAAATACAGAGAAAAAAGGAGAGAATATCAGACTATGTTGTTCCATATCAGAATGTAATAAATGTCACATATGAACATGAGAACTGCACCCCAGAGCCTTTCTATTTTAGTGAGTCTGCTTTGCCAAAGGCTACATACATTTCTCCTTGAAATGTAGGTTCAGTGGGGAACACAAAATAAAAGAGCTGGAGCTAAAAAATTCAATCTACTTTGGCCTTTTCAGATGATTTTGTAACTGTCAGTTTGCTAATTATTTTTAACTCCTTTGTATGATTGTTGAAATACTGTACTCCATATTCAATTGCATTAAGTTTGTTACGGATGTTACAGTACGCCTTTATATAAATATTTTATTCAATATGTTGTATTTGTGTATACAACAAATAAACACAAACTGTACAGTGCAGACAAACTCTTTGCATATATGTATGTAAAGTTAGCAGTACATACCAACAGTTCTTAAAACACATAGCCTACTACATGCAGTTCATCAATGCCATCCTCTTCCCATGCAACAGATGAGACAACAGACAAATAAAAAGTTGTAACTGAAGCACAAATAACAAAGACCCTCTTCTGCTATAATGTTTAAACATGTTAGGAAAAACGGAAAAAAAAATCAGACAATCATTCATAGGAATAAACACCATCACAGACCCGTATAAAACAGAAAAAAAAATCTGAGAGAAGATAGGTATACATTTACACGCAGGTCATTTACAAAAATAAATTCAGCCTTCTTTAACCAGTCAACTGGTTTGCAGGGCAAGTATAGCCCAGCATGTAGGGTTCACTGTTGAAAACTATGATCTGTTTCATGTGGATGTGGGACACCAGCCCTATATAGAATGAAATTGTAAAATTCCTTTTGTGCATATTACTGTATTTTATTATAGCATTAAAGTAGCTTTGTACAGACTTAAATAGTTAACTCTAGCTAATGTGCTTCACTTCTCCTAATATGAAACTAGCTCAGGATTCCAATAAGTTCCAGAAATGATAAATATTTCAAATCAATTTCAGAATATATTTGCCATTTAGCAGCATAGCATCAGTCTACTTTTTAAACAATATACTAACTCTTATTTAATTAACCTATTATGAAAATTGTTAAAGCAAGACAAGTTCATACTAAATTTGTTTACTGTTTCAGGAGATTTTTGAATAATGTACTGAGTTTAATGTGAATAATTCAAACCAGAATTGTAAATAATAAATGAATGGCTGAGGTGTAAGTTCAGCCTAACAAAACACATTAAATTCACAACCAAATGTAAACTTCTATTTATGATGATTGAACAATATTTTTATTGTTTATATGATGTCCGTCATTATTTGGTCCTTTAAAATAAAACCTTTTACTTGTCCTCTTTAGCATGCAATACAAGTGCTGGAAATATTCTCAAGGTACACATAATGTTTTAGGATGAAAAGGAATTTTTTTTTTAATGCACTGGTCAGAACTCCAAAGAATTACTTTTTTTCAGAATCAAAGCTTATTTTCCATTAAAAACAAAAAATAAATAAAAGTTTTTTCTGTTGCATTTATCATTAATCTTTTGTTTTATTTCAGCTTTTAGTTGCACAGTCAAGGACATCGATAGTTTGGTAAGAATCTATCTGAGAAAAAAACCCTGAAAAAATAAGGGTACTGTATGTTCTTTTGTTTATTTACTATGCAACTTGACTCCTACTGGATGTGGACTGATTATGAGGCACCTTTAACCCAGCAGTGTCTGGGTACACATTTTTGCATGCTGGGTTAGAGGTATGCACAGGTACATAGACCAAAGTGAGAAGTTCTGGACTCTGCATGCTGAGCTAAGAAAAATCCTTTCATATACTGTATCTCATAATGTCTAGTCATCAAAAATTACATTTCTCTTTTTTTATACAATGAAAACATTAGAATATAAGCTATATCTTGCATTGCTGCTGCAAGAAAGAACACAACACTAACCTTGCCCATGCTTTGCTGAATGGGACGGTGATGCAGCCAATAGTAATGGCATCTACTTAGATCCAGCATTCCCCACACTGAGTAAAGTAGACAATGTTTTTTTTAATGGCTGCAGTTAGCATGACCCCTTCAGTAGCTCCATAGCTCACTGCTTAAAGAGGGTCAGTGTGTGAAGGATGGGCCTTGTCTGGAGGCCTACAAGGCCTATAGATTTTCTTAGAGCCCATGCTCTAAAAAATAAAATTCTAGTTCCTATTGACTGGACAAGGCGAATTTCACCACTGGCGGAATCAGCTTGTGATATGTTTCTACCATGCACCCACACCAGGGAGCTTTATATTGATAGTGCCTGGCATAATGTATTCGCGTTTAATGCCAGGAGCAATTTCTCAGCCTTCACCATGTTGTTATCGTTAGTAGAACCAATACTGAGCCTGAGATGCTGATTACATTTTGTTTATAGATGTGGTATTTCAAAAGTGTTTTAATTGAACCTTCTTGAAGTTTCTGGAGCCAAGCCAGCTGTGACATCTTTTTTGCGTAAGTAATTTTAGTGTGTGTGGGGTTTTTTTTGTTTGTATTAGAAAATCACACATAGCCCCTGCAAAAAGTTCTAAAGTACTGGACAAAAGAGAAAGAGTGAGAAGAGAAATAGAAAGAGGAGAGAAACATACTTGTAAAAAAGAGAGGATGACAGTCCATTTTTCCAAACTTCACAGCATCTACCCAGAACACAGCTGGTGTACTGTCACATAGAAAATAGATCTGAACTACATGGACTTGGCTGCAAAAGGGCTCGAAAGGGGGAATTATGGGTAACCATCAGCAGGCAAGGTACTGCATGTGGCTGTGAAATATATCATTCTCATGGATTGTCACAGTTACAGAAAAGATTAAAAAGGCATTCCATATCTGGTAGGGCATTCCATGGTCAGAGTTTAGCTGGCTATCCAGATGTCTTCTCCTCGTGGATTTATTAGCGACAGATTGGGACTGATTTATCCCCTGGCGATGGAACAGTTCAGAAACAGCGAGGAGCAAGGGTTGTGTGAACCTGATCCACACACGCACGAGAGTTCGAGTCTGGCAGGGATAAACCGCTCAACAGTGTCATGGGTTCGTTCGTGTGCCACAGCTCTGCAGGTCTGGCTATGTCGTCTTGCTCGTCTTGCAGACTGGTTTTCCCCCATTCATTACTGCAGACGCACTTGTGCTTTTACTTGGAGTCACGCCCACTTTTGGAACTGTTTCTCCAACATCATGCAATGATGGCTCTCTGTACATGGCAACTGGAAGAAACAAAAAGAGTGTAGAAAAAGCAGGTTAGAACACAATTTCTGTACTATGATACAGTTTCCAAAATTCGTGAGCAATACCTTTAGTTTCTGAATGAGCATGGTGTAAGACATACATTTGCAGGTGATGCTGCGAGTTTTGTTGCAGGGAAAAGTGCTTGGTATGGATGATTGCTGAGGGTGGTCAAGGGAGCTGTGAACAAGAAGGTTACGCAGATTAGGTGGTCGGAGATATGAGATGATGAGGCAGTCTGAAAAGAGGGCACCGATGGAGGGATCATCCAGTAAGATGGAAAAGTTCTCATTAATGGTCCTGGGGATAGAAAGTGTGTTAGGATGGTAGGGAAGCACCAGAGGAATGCGGTTTTGAGGCCGGGAGTTCCTGATTGAGTTGATCATTCAAGGCCCTTCAGGACAATTCTGGATCACTCAGATGACATCCTGTATCTCCAGCAATCTTATTTACTGCATCTCTTGCACAAAATGTCCAGCTATCTAAATTGGGGAAACAGGAAGGACACTCAGGGACCGCTTCAGAGAACATGTTAGGGCTGTGAGGATCAAAGATTTCTCCAAGCCCATAGTTTCTCTTTTCACCTCTAACGGCCATGATCACACTGATCTCTCCATCTGCGTTCTCAAGAGGGGTTTCTTAACTCCTATTGCAGAAAGACATCCGAACCAAAATTTTCCTGAAACTAGGTTTACACCTTCCCCCTTCTCTCAACAAAAGAATCGTTTCCTTCTAATCCTCTCTATTCATTTGCAGGTTTCGACTTTACACCTCTCATCACCTCTCTCAACTTCGCACCACCTGAGTGGCCTCTGTGTCTCCCCCCTGCTCCTGCCTCCTCTGCACTCCCGCCTTTTGTTCTCCTATGCCATACAAGCTGCTAACTTCCCTGTCTTTCTAACACCTGAAGAAGGCTCCACAGCCGAAATGTTGTGTTTCCTTTCTTCTCTCATCAGCATGGAATAAACCTTAACTTGTTACTTTGTAGCCTCTGCATGCTGACGCACCTACCTACTTGAAATCCTTTAGCTTTGGTTCTCTTTGTTAGATCAAATAGGTGGTTTAGGTTGCTGTACTTAAGGGAATAGTGCAGAGCAGATGTTGCAGTTCAGTGATTGCTTACATAAAATGGATGTGCTTGATTTACTGAGCTTTTTGCTTTTGAGATGGAACACACTTGAGAAGGTAAGCAATTAACTTCTACCCTTCCTGGGAGGTCTAGGCTTGGACTGCACCTGGCTTAAGACTATGCTATTGTTTTCAAACTCTGTAAAGTTATAAAAAGCAGTTGAGTGACCTCAGTTATTCACTATTGTTATTTTGTTGTGAGTGGCCAAAAGCTGATAAAACCTGGAAAAATTATGCAAACACTGATAGTTGCCTGGAATGTATTTTTTTCCCCAGGCCAACACAAATAATGATTATTAAATTATTAATAACAGTAATTAATAGTTTCTTGCATTGGTATATTGTTTTCATCTCATAAGATCCCAAAAGCCCTTTACATATAGGAAGGAACTGAAGTACAGCCCACACCCGGATGACACACAAAAGCCATTCTACACCATCAGCCCCACTACAAAGCAGATCAGATGGAGAAGTGGGAAATGACACTTTTTTGGTAGACAAGTTTATACTTAATCGGGTAGACCAGATTTAATGCCCTAGGTCTTCTGAACAGTAACTTGGCATTGGAAATCACACATTGTGATTATAACTAGGTCATCTTAATTTGGCATAGCAGCAAAAGCATTCCCCATATTAAATGTTCATCACTAAAAAGGTGTCTGACAATTCCAGCAAAGAAGGTGTCTTTGTATCACAAATAGTACCATAGTTATCCCATGTAGCTGTTCTAGGTATCTACAGTAAATCATTAAAATATTTTGTCCCAGCTCAAAAAAAGTACTTAGAAATTCCTCCTCTATCCTATTTGTGGATTGGTTCAGAAGTGTTTTGAACAATTCTGTGTTGGAGGGCCTGTTAAAATTGCCAATGCCTATGCTAATCTTATCAGTGAGTATAGCTCCTCAAAATGTGTTGCTAGAAATGAGTAAAATGCTAATCAGTGTTAACAGGTTAGGAAACACCCCATAGTGTTGATATCACATAAACTACATACTACTGCTTTCATGGGCACTGGCTTTTCTACAGGGAGGAAAATAATTCAGTACTATATCCCAACTATAGATGTTATTAAGCCCTCCTAAAATGAAATCTCAGGCTTGGCATCAGCAGTCCTGTTCCCCTGTACCCTAACCTCTATTCAGCTTGTCCAGTTTGCCCATTTTTTAAGCTTATGAAATACCACTGCAGTCTGGAATTACAGTATGTTTTCTCCAAACAAATGAATAACAGCAGTATGTCTAATGCAATAGACATGCACATAGGGGAATTATGGCCCAATGAAACTGGAAAATATTATAAGTGATAATCCCTGTAGGCATGATTTCAATATTTCATATTCACTATAAAGAAAACAAAGAATTCCCATAGTACAGCTTGCTCAACTGTCTGTTCATCTATCTCTCCATTTATGAGTCACAATGTGATCTTATCCATTGTAGGTTTTTAAAACACACACTGGTTGAGTGATGAGGAAGGTGGTGTTTGGTTTGGAAACAGTACTGTTTTACAGTACTGAGCTTCCAGACAACATCTAAATGTCCCCACTGTGCACATAAAAACACCTGTTGGTTTTATGTATCAGTATCCCAAAAGGCAATTACATTTACTTCACTTTGATAACAGCCTTGCATTCTCATCAGAGTGAAAATGTTTCACTCCACCAGTATTTCAAATTTGTAAAACAGATTAAAAAAAATGTTTGTACATTTTTATAAAAAGCATTTTAATCCAAAATAAAAACATATCTAATGGGTTTAACACTGGTAAAGTAAGTTTTTCTTTTTATTCACTCTATATACACACAGGTACAGGTAAGTACAGTAGCATATATACAGTAACTAGAAAGCTGGCAAACGAAATGGAAGTTTCCGTGTCATTCACATGTTGAGAACAAATTAATTTGGACATTTAAAAAGGCACTTCTCTCATTCTTAACAAGCAAAGGAGTACTTCCTAAAAAGTTGTATCACATGATATTGTCTTCTTTTTCAGCCGTTTGTACAGTACAATGCACTCCAAACTACTGTAGCAAAAAATATGTTGCACTGTATGTACTCTTCACTGACATTCATAGACAGATTGGAGTCTAGACAGTTAACCTTTAGAAGAACAATCATCAAGAGGGGCTGAGACCTCTTTTTCTGTATAAATGAAGAGCGTCCATCTTCTTTATCATTGAACAAGTGGGATTATGTGTAACCTGCCAGCAGAGAGTCCTCCATATTTGTGACCTTAGTTAGGTTAGGTGCAGATCACAAGAACTGCCATGATGTTCTGTCTGTGCTTTTTATAACATCACACATTGTTCATCTGCTCATCTAAATATCATGACATGCGAGTATTCCATCACTATTAAAAACAAACTAACTGAGGCCAGATATTATAAAAATAAATGCTTACACTTATATAGCACTTTTCTGGACTCAAAGCAGTAATGGGGACTCCCCTATCATCACTACCAATGTGCAGCATCCACCTGGATGATACGATGTCAGCCATAATGCGCCAGAACCCTCACTACACATCAGCTCTTAGTGGGGAGGAGAGCAGAGTAATGAAGCCAATTCATGGATGGGGATTATTAGGAGGCCATGATTGGCAAGGGCCAATGGGAAATGAGCCCCCTGATCGCCCCACTAACACCTCTTCCAGCAGTAACCTTAGTTTTTCCCAGGAGGTCTCCCATCCAAGTACTGACCAGGCTCACACCTGCTTAGCTTCAGTGGGTTGCCAGTTGTGAGTTGCAGGGTGATATGGCTGCTGGCAATATGTTCACTAAGCCTGACAGCAGACATATAAACAATTTTGGTGATGAATTAGAGGTCTTTTGAAAAAATGTGCTTTGAGAAGGGAACAAATATTCTCTGTCTCTTTCAGTCACCCACACTTCATCCATCCATATCCATTTTCTAATTGTTTCCTACAATTCAGGGTGCATAGAGGAGCCAGATAAGCAACAGGCGCAGGATGAGGTACACCCTGGAAGGGATGCCAGTCCATCACACTTCAGAAATACAAACATGCACAAACTCAAAATAGGGCCTATTTTCCCAGAAGCCAATTAAATTACCTGTATGATTTTGGACTGTGGGAAGAAACCTACAGTAAGTGAACATGTTGAGAACATACTGCACAAGCTCCACATAGACAGCACTGTAGATCCAGAATTGAACCCAGGATCCCAGCTCTTCAAGTCGGCATGCTGCCCACCTCACCCACACTCACACACTCAAAGCCAAAGCACTTTAAGAGTTGTCACAGTAAAGCAGCAAAGGGCACCTCACCTTCTAATGGCTTAGGCAGGAAATGAGCAGCTGGTTTAGTTTTCTTCACTCGGTTCCCCTTCATGACTTGTCCTTCCTTATTGAGACCCAGGAACCAAGCTCTACCAGATTCTTGTTGTCTGTACAGCATGGACGAGTAGATCACATAATAGTTTTCAAATACCGACTCTTTAAATTTGCATTCTGGTGTGAAGAGTTCCTGTAAGATAAAGCACAAAACCAGAGGTCAGACTGGGTTTCAAGTCATTGTCACTATCAAATCATGTTATTATATGAAAACTTATATTTTTTGTTGACAACAAAGGTGTAAAATGTATGCATACAGTATATTTTGTAATTAGACTTATCATAGTGTAGATTTTTTTCTTTACATCACCCCTTGCAAGTTGGCACTACATAAACAATCGTTCAGTCCATGCATACTGTATAAACATTTATTAACCCTGTTGTAAAAGTTGTGTCAGTGGCCTCTGAACAACAGTTCTAGTTTCCAGCAGTACAATTGAACACTTCTGCCTCTTTCTTCTCTGCTGATACTATTTAATACAGAGCTTTATCCTTTCACTGCCCTGAGGTATGGCATTGACATCTTCCTTGGTTCATACCTGAGTAAGTGTTTAGTACATTAGCCATTTCTCTTTGCTTGACTAATACAGTATATTGCTTAAGGGTGTAAACATACAGTATAAAGAATTACAATTAAGATTGTCTTTGCTCACTACCAGGACAATAGTATAGCAGTTGTGATATAGCTGTAGTTTTACAGTACAGTATGTATTAAGCATTAACAAACTCTGTCTATGAAATACCTCAAAATTCTCAAACCTTAACAATCTTATACGTATGTTGGTATCCACTTGAAGAAAGTCTGGTCTTGCTATACAGACTACTATTTATATATAGCATCTGGTTTACACAGGGGGATCTTAGATATTATAAACTGGTTTTGTCCACATAATTACATAATAAATTAAAACTTCACAGAGTTTCAATGAAACCATGACATGGTACGTTCATTCTCCTGTTTCACAATCACAAAGAGACCAGTAAAATCTCATTTCTTTTTTCACACTGGAGTAAAAAAGAATTCATGTTATCACAGTTATTTTTAATGAGTATGGGCCATGCTCTAGAACTTGCAATTGCAATTCGAGCTTCTGGGCTCTTCTTTCTTTCTATACTTACATCTCCATTCTACAATGCTTGCCTATGGAGTTGCCTAGAGGGCGAGGTTGTCTACAGTATATACAGTAGCCAATGCACAATCAATTTTATACCAGGAATAAAAGTCATTCTGTTTCATGTTTTGTATACAGTCTTAGCAAAGTTAACAGTTAATATCTTATCTCAAATGCTGCAGATGAGACCAGTTTTTGGGACAATATCCTAATCAAATCAAATGATTAGATGAATAAAAAGTGTAGTTGATCTCTCGTAGACGGTATCTTATAAAGATGAATCCTAGATTTTGAGTCTGTGTACAAATTTTTGTTTTGGGGCACAGTTGGCATATTTTTAGGAAATGCTGTAGGGAGTGTTTAGAAGTTGTAGGAATAGGCCACTAACTGTTTTACTGTTAGTACTCTTGGAGGACAGTGAGTTTAATCTGAGCCAGAAACAGATTGGCTGGCTTGTCGGACTGCGGCTAAAAAGATATAGGTGCTACTGTATGCTGGGATCTTCCACATTCCCTCTCTTGGCATTTCTTAAGAGGGTTACAGTGCTGCTGCTGATGCTCGATTGCAGCAGTTTCACCATATTTTAGAGATTCTTAGGTAGAAACCTTTTCTACAAATTATTTCCTGAAAGTGTTTTAAAATACTGTATCACTTGTCGGTTTGGCAACATACTTACCATTAATTTTAATAGGTTGGGAAAATTAGTGAGGATAATCAGTAAAATCCATCCATCCATTTTCCTACCGCTTTATCCAGTACAGGGTCACGGGGGAGCTGAATCCTATCCTGGCAAATAATGGGCACAAGGCTGAATATTCTCTGGACCATATACCAGTCCATCACAGGAAGTAGCAAAATCACTGGGGCGAAACAAATAAACCTAAATGCCTTCTACAAACAGAGGGGTGTACGGACCAAGACCAAGAGCATTATGGAGCGTTTGGCTCATCCCTTCCAGTTTGAATTCAAACTACTTCAAATTGGGAGAGGCCTCTAGGTGTTAAGGGAATAGACTCAGGAAGTCTTTCATCCCCACTACAGTCTCAAACAATGTTGAATTACCTATCTGCTACATTCTTTGCTGGTTATGTTTGTTTTGGTTGTTTTTTTTTCTGTTTTGTTGTGCCTAAAATATTTTACTTTTATTTCTTTTAATTTATTTTTATGATATTTTAAGTTAAGTTTTATCTACATTTTATTCTTAACTTCAAAAGTTATGTTCTTATTCTTAAACACAATCTGGATTTACACAACGTATCTACAAATTTCTAATAAGTGGATATTCTGTTTAAATTCAGAATCTCACTTTAGGTTATATCTTCAGGCACAACAGTCTCAAGATACTTTGCCTGAAGTTTTTCAATCAACATTAAATGATTGCATTTCATTAAAACATTAAATTTATTGCAGCTGTGAGGAATGGTACACTGCAATTTGGGAAAAAAATCCATTAACCTTTTCTAACATTTTATATTCCAAATAAAAACAGCAGACCAAAATTATATTTCTCCCCTTCTAAAAGCTTCTTAAACTTTACAAAGAAATAGATGTTCTGATAAAGCATTGTTTCAACACTGTTAGCTTGATGAATGTGTTGTCAAAATCAGTCTCTATTGGTTTCTTTTCACACTGAGTTGAAAGCGGTATTTACAAATAGTTAAGAAATGACCTACTCAATTGAAATGACAGCCTACATAATTCCAATTCAAACAAAAGGACAACTGCTGTGTCACGAGGAAAAGCTCCACTGCAGGCAGAGTCTCATTCACAAAGAAGAATGCTGACAATAAAGCACTATTTTCTGAGCATCCTTTAATTCAATATACAGTAATACTCCACCATCCCACAGATCACCATCCCCAAAGTTAAACCTCTTGGCCCTAAAGTGTAACTTTCCACTCAGCTTCAGCCACAACCTAAGCTCTAACAGTAATCTTAAACAAAACAAAATTCTTAATCTTAAACCCAACCCATGCCCAAGCCCTTTCACTTTCTTGCTTCAAAGATTTCAGATATGTTTGTTCTCTTTGGCATGAGTTACAAGAGAACCTGGAAATGCTCCTGCAAGTCTCTCTATTCATCAACTGATTGACAGAGAAGGAGAAATCATCTTGGGGACTACAGCTCCTTGCTTCTCATCTCTCAGTCTTCCTTAGAGGAAGTGTAAGGATAATACTTCACTTTTGCTTCTAAAAATAACATTTAAATTTATGAATTTGAGAAGACACCCTAACAGAAGATGCCCCCAAATGACAAATTTTATTTCATTGCCAAGAGATGAGTACTGCATGTTCTGATCTCCACCAAAACTGATATGTGCAGTTCACTGAAATAACTGACACGACACCAATCATAGGTAAAGGGTTTGAAGAATGCTTCAAATGAAATCCTGTAGGAAGCTGCTCTTAACCTTATAGATTCAATTCACTTTAAGAGCCAAAGCATATTTGTACAGTATGTCTTATACTGTCCTTCAATGTACTCAAACATAGTCAACATACTCACAGTGATGACATGTAAAGTATAGCTGAGGTCATCACAAGTCTCAGGAATCTATATTATTAAAGAAATACAATATTTGTAGCTTATTAATCAGCATATTTTTAAAACCTGTTTCTTTCTTAATCACAGGATTTACTGTGTGTGCTTTTATTGATGATGGACTCCACAAAATCTAAACGATTTCAGTCATGGTCAACCAGAAGCTTGGTTGCTGTTCAGAAAACAAGGCTCAAAATTCTTTCTTGTAAAATCTTTTTCTCTCATGTGTGAAAAAGCAGGTATTAAATATGCATAAAGATTTCCAACAGACAAAGTTTTTTTGTTTTTTTGCAGCACTAGGAAATAAGAATGAAAGCAATGATTTATGGCCTGATGTCTTCTTGTTCCACAACATTCAGTCATATCCTTACCATATAAGTGGCAATTTGTAATTTCTATCTAACAGTATGATTCAAAGCTGCTTCCTACGTGATAATAAAATGTGTTCCATCTACAGTATTGCAATCTTCAGCAGAATACATAAAAAATTCTAACACTGGATTCCAACAGAAAGGAATCCTCAGATGGTTTGTCTATCGCTGGTCCTGTGCCTTTAAAGTTTTACCATTGCTTCCAAAAAATCTGGAGTGAAATGTTCTAAAAATCAACCAACCTATAGGGCTAGAATCACAAACCTGATTGTACAGTCAAAGTTTTTTACATGCACTTTTGCAGTGCAATGCGAATGAAATTCATGCTATTCAACTATTTTGCATACAGTTTTTCAAATTGGATCTCAGTCCAAGTTGTTCTATCTAAAGCATTGTTACACCATTTTGATTTCTTTAAAACCACTCGCACAGCACTTTATAATGACCAGTATTTGAGACAATATAGCAATAGTACAGCTGAAGGAACAACAATCTTATTCCAGAAGTGATCATCTGTGTAGAAATAATCAAGCTCCATTGAATGCAGAGATGAGAACACATTTTGGATAATGGACTTTGAGATGAAAACTTTGCTTGTTTTTGTTGTCTAATATGGTCAAGGGTAAAATTTTGGATCTGTTTTTTTATACCTTTGAACAAAATGCGTGAAGTGAATTAATCCTTTGTATTAAGATTTGATTTGTTATTATTTAGAAATTCAACTAGACTTCCAATTCTACCATCGGGGCAAGAATAACTAATCATGCTATTTCCTTCAATATCAACAATAATTATGACTGCAACAAAGTATTATGTAATTTTATATGAAGAACTCCAATGATCACGGTGTGTTGAAGATAAGTTCTAAATACTGCTCACACATACAGGAATATAGGCAGCTTCTAAATGCACTGGAGACTAAAGCACTCAGTAACAGAAACTCAAACAATAAAGAATGCAACAAATTGTCTTTGTTTTCATGCCTCTGTGTAGTACAATAAATCAAAAGAGATCGGCTCTGTGCTCCTGCTTTCTCTGACTGAAATGTAATACTTTTCTTTTTTTCTCCTGCAGTGCTTTTTTATAGGTTGCATTTACAAAGATAACAT